ATCACATTTTCTTTATCCATTTGTCCATTGATAGATACTTAGGTTGATTCCATATCTTTGCTGTTGTGAATACTGCTGCATTAAACCTGGAAGTGCAAGTATATCCTTTGACATACTGATTTCTTTTCCTTTGGATAAATACTCAGTAGTGGGATTGTTACATCATATGTATTGTTATATATCAAAGCTATATTTGTAGATTTTGAGAAATCTTCATAATGTTTTCCATAGTGGTTGTACTAATTTACATTCCTACCAACAATATATAAAAGATGATTGTTGGGTTTTTTGTTGCATGTAAGTTTTTAGTTTAATATAATCCCAATTGTCTATTTTTTTGGTACTTGTGCTTGTGAGGTCTTAACCATAAATTTTTTTGCCTAGAACAATGTGTTTCCATGTTGTGTTTCCCATATTTTCTTCTAGGAAGAAAGTCCTAGAAGAAAATTTAGAGTTTCAGGTCTTACATTTAAGTCATCAATCCATCTTGAGTTGATTTTTTTACGTGATAAGATATAGGGGTCCAATTTCATTCACCTCCATATGGATATTCTATTTTCCCAGCACCATTTATTCAAGAGGATGTGTTTTTCTTCATATGTTTTCCTAGTGCCTTGTTAAATTAATAGGCTGTAAGTACATGGATTTATTTCTGGATTCTCTATTCTGTTCCATTGTTCTATATACCTATTTTTATACCAGTATAATGCTGTTTGGTTACTGTAGCCTTGCAATGTATTTTGAAGTCAAATAGTGTGATGTCTCTAGTTTTGTTTTTTGTCTTTTGGGTCCCCATCCACCTCAGGATCACCTTGGCTATTCAGGCTGTTTTTTGATTCCATACGAATTTTAGATTTGTTTTTTCTATTTCTGTGAAAAATGACATTGATATTTTGAAAGAGATTCCATTAAATCTGTAGATTATTTTGGGCAATTTTAACAATATTAATTCTCCTAATCTATGAGCAACTATGTCTTTCCATTTGTGTTCTCTTCAATTTCTTTCATCAGTGCTTTGTAGTTTTTCTTGTAAAAGTCTTTCACCTCTTGGTTAAATTTATTCATAGGTATTTTATCACTATCTGTTGTAAATGAGGTTGCCTTCTTTATTTTTTTCTCATCTAGTTCATTATAGGTATATAGAAAGAGTACTGATTTTTTTGTACCTTGATTTTGTATCTGGCACCTTTGCTGAATTTATTTATTAAATCTAAGAATTCTTTGGTGGAGTTTTTAAGTTTTACTAGATATAAAACCTCATCATTTGGAAAAAGGGACAAATTTGATTTCCTCTTTTCCAATTTGGATACCTTTTATTTGTTTTCTCTCCTAATTGCTCTAGATAGGATTTCCAGTAGTATGTTGAATAGGAGAGGTGAAAATGTGTATCCTTGTCTAGTTACAGTTCTTAAAGGAAAGGCTTTCATTTTTTTCCAAACTCAGTGTGATGTTTGCTGTGAATTTGTCATATATGTTCTGTAGTATGTTTCTTCTATGCCTACTTTGTTGAAAGTTTTTATCATGAAGGGATATCGAATTTTATTAGATGCTTTTCTGAATATGTTGAGATGATCATATGGGTTTTGTCCTTTATTCTGTTGCTATGATGTGTCACATTTATTGATTAGCATATGTTGAGCCATTCTTGCATTCCTAGCATAGTCTCACTTGATTATCTTTTTGTTGTGCTATTGGACTCAGTTTGCTATTATTTGTTGAGGATTTTTACATTTAAATTATTAGGGATATTGGCCGGCATTTTTCTTTTTGTGTTGTATCCTCATCTGGTTTTGGTATCAGGGTAATGCCAGCCTGGGAGAATGAATTATGGAGAATTCCCTCCTCTTTAACTTATGGGAATAGTTTGAGGACGCTTAGAGATAGTTCTTTGAAAGTTTGGTAGAATCTGGCAATGAGGCCATCTGGTACTAGACTTTTCTTTGGGGGATTTTTTTTTGATTAGTGATTCAATCTCATTCCTCATTTTTAGTCTTTTCAAGTTTTCTATTTAGTCCTAACTCCATCTTGGTAGGCTGTATGTGTCCAGAGTTTATCCGTTTTCTCTAGGTTTCCAGTTTAATGCAGCAGACTTGTTTATAATAATCTTTTTTATTTCTGTGGTAAAAGTTGTCACATTGCCCTTTCTAGTCATGATTTTATTTGGGTTCTCTCTTTTTTTTCCTTGGTTAGTCCAGCTAGAAATTTATCCATTTTATTTTTTTTAAAAATCAACTTTTTGTTTCACTGATATATCTTTATTATTTCTTTCCTTCTATCAGTTTTGAGTTTGGTTTGTTCTTGCTTTCCAGGTTCCTTGCAGTATGTTTTTTGAAACTTTTCTACTTTTTTTTTTTTTTTTTGAGACAAAGCCTCAAGCTGTTGCACTGGGTAGTGAGTGCTATGGCATCACAGCTCACAGCAACCTCCAACTCCTGGGCTCAAGCAAGTCTCCTGCCTCAGCTTCCCAAGTAGCTGGGACCACAGGCACCCACCACAATGCCTAGCTAATTTTTGGTTGCAGCTGGCACTGTTGTTTGGTGGGCCTTGGGCTGGATTCAAACCTGCCACCTTAGTGTATGTGGCTCGTGCCTTAGCCACTTGAGCCACAGGAGCTGAGCCTCTACTTTTTTGATGTAGGCATTTACTGCTATAAAATTCTCTCTCAGAACTGCTTTTAATGTATCCCATAGGTTTTTAGTATGTTGCCTTTCAAGTTTCATTTGTTCAAGTAATTAATTTTTTGCTTTCCTCCTTAATATCTTCAGGACCATGTTGTTTGATTTTTGTGTATCTGGACAGTTTCCAAAGTTCCTCTTGTTATTGATTTCTAGGTTTATTCCATTGTGGTCCAAAAAGATACTTGGAATTTTGATTTGAAAAAAAATTATTAAGACTTGTTTTGTGGCTCGGCGCCTGTGGCTCAACCGGCTAAGGCGCCAGCCATGTACACCTAAGGTGGCGGGTTTGAATCCCCAGCC